TCGATATGCCCCTCTCGTTTGTGACTGGGATGCCGAGGATCACAAAATGGGTGTAAATAACAATGCAAATATACATGGTGCCCTCATTGTTACAGTCACCTATTCGATGTGCCAGTTAACCACACACGCTCCATCGAACTATGACAAACAATGAGTCACCCTTTTCCACCTTTGCTTAGAACCAATTAGTGTGCCGGTTAACCATACACGCTTCACTAACTTCTTAGCAATGGTGAAAAGTGCAATTTCATGGGATTGCATCAATTTCACTTTTGCCTAAAGTAACTAGGATTGAGAATTTGTAAAAGCGATTAGTTACTTTACATAGATTCATTATACTTATTAATGAAGAGAGGATTACCCTATCCTACCCGTTCGGCTAACGAACCTCCACCAATCAAGGAAGCTGTGGGTAAGAGTGGATACCCATTAAACGACCATTTTATAGGCCATAACCTTATACCCCCCTTATAGATCGACTTCGTGAATGACGCCTACTAACGGTAAGACTAGCATTTTAGTTATACATATATAATATTAGACTTTTAATGTTATACGTAGTATAAGGGTGTATTTTACACTTTTAAGATACTAGGTGGTTTAAATTTTATAAATTACACTTTCAGTTAAATATAAACCATATCATTGTGGATTTATTAACTCTCTTTTTATTATACACTTAATTAATTTAATAAAACCATAATGGTGTAATTTGAACTTTTTCAAAATTAGGGTTTTAGAATTTAGACTTTCAAAATTAAACTTTTAATCAAACAATTTAAATTCCAAAACTTGAGGGCAGGTTTTCAAACTTTTCAAAACAATTAGGTTTTAATCTCACTTTAAAATTTTCAAAATTTATGACTATTTAAATAAAAGTTTTAAATATTAAAACTCTTGATTTAATAATTATCTTGAATTAAACTATAATTTAAATTATTAAATCATAAGGGGTTATTAAAACATAAAGGATAATTACCAATTAAACAATTAATTTATCCTAATCTTTTTAATCCCTCTAAATTTCAAAAATCATGGGATAGGATATTTAAAAATCTTTAATTACCATATATAGCCATTAAAGGATAATTACAAGATATGGATTAATCCAATTCCATAAAATTTAGGATCTTATCTTGGGGAGGAGGCTAATCTCGAAAATCCTAGGGTTTGCAAACCCTAGATTTCGAAATCTTGGGACTTAAGGAAACGATTTGAAAAAACCTTACCAAGTTTTCGCAAATTAGGGTTTAGGAACCCTAATCTCGAAAATCTTGCCTCCTAGGGTTTATTGGCTATAAACCCTAATATGTCAAGTTCATACAATTTTATAATACTAATTGAAAACAAGTTAACCAAAGTCTCTGATACCACTGATGGGTTTTGAACAAACAATCTGTGACAACCCAAAATTTCCATTCTGAACAAACCATATCAAGCCAATAGAAGTTAGAACAGTTTCAGCCAAATCTCCAAACTTTGGGTATAAGTTTGAGTTTTTCAGGATTCACACTTAAGGAGATATTAGGAGAGTGGATGCACTAGGGTTTTGTGCAACACTATTATTCCGATACTCTAGGATATTAGAGTTTATTCTGGGAATAAAATATTTTCTGCCCAAAAATATCAGGACTATATATAGAAATCTAAACCAAATAATTCATTAGTTACATTTCTAATTAGAGAAAAGCCAGATTCTCTCTCACGGATCTTCGGGTTTTTATCCCAAATCGTGAGTACTTCAATCTAGTTGTATTATATACCTTAGATTGTGCTTAATAACATCAAAATCACGACAGAACAGCAAGATCTGTGAGTTTACTCCCCAAGAACATCTTGGAGAGTAAACTCCTTTTCAAAAGCCAAATAGTGCCTAGTCCTTCCTTAAGCCATGAAACTAGTTTGGGCTTGTACACAAATGAGTTTAGGGATAGAAAACAAACTCCATTTTAAGGGCCAAAAGTGTCCCAATGTCCCTCAAAGCCTTGGAAATGAACCTTGAGACTACCCATGACATGTTTGGACATCCAAAACAAATATAATCAAGGGTTGAAAGTGAGTTCACGGCCAAGGAAGTTCTTGGGCCGTGAACTCCATTTTAGGGTGTCAAAATGCCCTAAATGCCACCCTTAAGCCAAGAGAATAGCATAGATTTTTACCTTGATTTGTCTAAGACCCAAAACAACCAAAATACCAACACCCACAAGAGTTTACGGCCGCAAACACATGACCAAATGGTCTATGGGCCGAAAACTCAAGTTAGGGGTGTTTTGGTGCCACAAACACTTCCTAAGGCTTAGGCATGAATTTAGAATGCTTCCTTATGACCTTTAAGACCCTCATAAACATATTTGGATAGGAGTTTACGGTTGTAAAATCCCTTGGGCCGTGAACTCATGGTAATAAACTCATATGTGTGCCTTTATACCTTCCTATGTTGAATCACATGTGATTCCAACACTTGGTCAAGGTGTTACCTAGTCCTGGAAGGTGTTTCCCTTCATATAGTTGTTATAAACACTATATTCATGTCAATATGTGTCCTTATATGTCATTTAGGACTTATTGTGTCTCGGGACTTCATTCGTGGAACTTCTCATCCATACACGTGTACCCGCTAGAACCACTCACAACAGGTGAGTTCATACCCCTAAATGAATATTTTAAATGATTTAATGGGGGGGGGGGGGGAATACAAGTAGAAAAAAACATGTTATTAAATCACTCATATGTATTTTATAACTGTGTTTTCATCCAACAGATTTCACATACTACAAAATGTGATGCATGAAATGGTTTTCCATCTTAAAATACCTTGATAACAATAGTATTAGTTTTGAAATGTTTATTAACATGACATCAAGTCAATCTTAATTATTATTCAAAACTCTTAGATACCTTGCAAAACCATTACGTTTACCTTCTTCAACAACCAACTAACTTTCAGTAAATTATCATAGGGATAATTTGAAGATATCAAACATTATTCCTATTACAAGGAATCACACAAGAGTCAGTTCATTCATGAGTCTACACCAGTACATTACCTGATACATGAGTACATATACATATGCTTACCTGATACATGAAGATGTTTACATATACTTACCTGATACATGAACACACTTACATGAATACCATACATGAACACTGTTACATAGATGCATTATCCTGTATTCACTTACCTGGATGCTTGTATCTTGACTTGCGAGGATGATTTATTAGTACTTTCTATGTAAATTATCTTTGCTATCCCGGTTCAATGGGGTATCCAGGCGGGGCTAACTATTCCGAATCCCACTTACTAGCACCAGTGGTCGATGACCATCTACGGAGGTCTAAGGTTACTACATATACTAGGTAGATCGACATCGGAACTAACCATTCCTCCATCCTACTGTTGCAACAGAGGATGAGATGAAAATCTTCGGATGATCATTAGGTTACTATTTATATTAGGTAGATCGATATCGGGACTAACCCTTCCACCCACCTACTGCTACTACAGAGGACAATTGGAGAATCTTCGGATGTTCATTAGGTTATACCTTTCGCTTCGGCGATGTCGTGTTAGTCCTAGTAACCCAGGGATAACACTTACATGATTATACTTCTTCCTGTTTACTTTATTTTGTGATACTTTCACATAAACGAGGAGTTAGAGTAAGTACTTTAGTACTAGTCAATAGAAAGGAAAAACTATCATTTTACTTACAAAACATTCGGGTCTTGGTAGAAGACTACATTTCATACTTGTAGGAAATAAGGGATTTTCTAGGATTTTCAAACTTATATCAATTGTTACATTTAAAGATTTGCCAGACAATCATGACAGTTTTCCAAATAAGACAATGACACTTAAATACTTACGAATTCACTAGCTTTAGGCTAATACTCGCTTTCAAAATAACTTGTATTCTCAGGTCACTAGTTAGACAAATATGATGTCCAGGCCTTGAGAAGACGGAGCACAGAAAGGACTCATCTTATTTTGATTATTTATGTTATTGTTGTACATTAAGAAAGAACACACATGTAATTAAAACTTTACTTTTAATGCAATGGATGATGTTGTTGCTTGTTTACTACTTTACACTATTATGATACTTCACATGACGTCCTCCACCCCAGAATGCTTCCGCCGTTCTTGGTTTTGGGGTGTGACACAATCCTATATGTGCATGCAACCCTAGATTTGGATCTATGTTTTCACTATTAGATACACAACATTATGAACACATGAAGAACCGTAGCATGCTACTAATATTTTAGAAATTCACATAGAAAGATAGATCACATACCTCTTGTTGTTATATTGTAATAACAACTTAAATCTTCAAATCCTAAGCCTTGAAAGCAAGTACCACAAGTGTAGTACCTCTAATGGCTCACAAACACCACAAGCAATTGGAGAAGCAATAGAGAGAGAAGAGGAGAGGTGGAAATCGGCTCTAGGAACCCTAGGGATCAAGTGTATGATTTCTATGGCCTTAGGGGTCTTTATATAGGGTAGAGATTAGGGTTTCAGTCCTTATCCTTATCTAGTTGCTTGTCCACCAAGTAACCAAAAGATAAGCCTTGATAGCCCTTATCCTTGGACGATTTCAAGTATATTATCCCCCTTGAATTCGTCCACCTCTCCCATAGGGCATCCATTGCCTTAATTTGCAATTATCACATAATTACAATTCAGTCCCTCTAGTTTAATTAATTACACTTGATCATAGAGTTAATTCCGAATTAATTATTGACCAATATTAATTAAACAAATATGATTTCTCCTTTAATATATTATTCCTATAATATATTAATAAATCATAATAACCTTTTTCTCTATTATTTCTCCAGTCAAGTTGCTTTGGTGAAGGCAACCCAAAAGGACCATGCACAACCGGCTCAAGTACTTACCAAATATGGTTATGGGCTTAGACACTAATCCAACAGTAGGTTCTTCTCTTTTGTTCTAGTTTTGAATAAAAGTGTGTTTCAACCCCAACAATATGAATATCAATGGAGGCGGGTCGTGTTGTGTGATGTGGGAAGTGGATCTTATTGATATGAGACGATATGTTGGTTCTCAAGATGGAGGACAAGATATCTACGTTAGAGCTGCAATTTCTGATTTGGGTATGTTTCTTAATTGTACTTTAGCGACTTATATCATATGTATCAAAAAGTAATAGTATTTCTTTAAATCTTACAACTTTAGTCTTTAGACATCAACAATCATGAGTTTGTTGATTGCAGCTCCACCGCCGGTAGCTGAAAGTACCAAAAATGGCTCCGCCAACAGCAACCAAATTGGTAAGGTTGTCGGCATTACCATGAGTACCTGTGCCATGCTCATATTTATTCTGATACTCATCTACTTGAAGAGGAAGCAAACACGAACCTTGATAACATCAATGGATAGAGAAGGTAATTTTGACTTTGTTAGAGTCAAACCCCATAGTTTATAATTTTGAAATCAATAATTAATATTAAGCTAACATAATTGATAAGTGCAAATCACTATTAAACACTAAAATGAATGTAGTCCTCTAACAAAATAATCATATTTCGTGCAAATATTCATTTTCTTTTTAAAAAAACAATTTTTGTAATGATGACCATTCATAAATGATAAATCAATTTCCCAAAATCCAGTTTTAATATGTGTATTTTGTGATATTGTCAATTATGATAAGACCCATCCCTTTTCAATTTAGTAAGTAAGTACTTAAACCTATGTATAATTCATAACTAGATTAACCCATCAACGGTTTTCTTAACGTTGAAAAAGATTTCAGTTACAAGACTTGAAAAATAGGATGCAAGTTTTCATTTTGGATAGAGAATTCAAACTTTTTAAGTCAAAACAGAACGGGAGAGACTTCATGTTTGCTTGATATATTTCGTTTGATCCAAAATAGGTCCACAAGGAAGAACCGAAGAGTCCTTAGTCGATGATGATGCTATTCTACCAAATAGAAGAAGAGATAATCATGGCAAAACAACTATGGATGAGCTTGAATTACCCTTGTTCAATTTTACAACAGTTGCTATTGCAACAAACAACTTCTCAAAAACAAATGAACTTGGGAGAGGGGGGTTCGGGCCTGTTACAAGGTAAAGTACTAGGACATATGTGAACATCTAAAATTAAGGTTGTTAAACCTATCTGATTCTAAAATTTGATTTGGATATTCGATAATCTAAATATTGGAGTACATATTATCACTAGTTTTTGATATCCATATTACTAAAAATCCGAAATGTACCTATCTTTATTTGTTATTTGAAATTACTTTATTTTTGTTATTATTTCATGTTTTTTAATTATTCGAATATTTAAATAAGACAATAGATAAAAGATAAATAGTTTCCTCTGAACAATGCATGACAAATGAGCCTCCGCCTCAATTTGATGTGTTTGAATTTTAAACACCATAAATATCCTTAAGAATGCATTTCATAGGCTCCCATGGATAAAACAATAGAAGACACATTTCTAATCAAGGTGTGCGATCTATCGTTAAACTATGGCTATCTGTCGTTAATCTATTGGCATCTCGCTAATCCGTCCTTATCTGTTGTAAATCCAATGTTAATTTTCCAATATCCGTTACTAGTTGTTAATCTGAAATTTCAATGGTCCATTTATCTTTTTGCACTGCGCCTTTAAAATCAAGAACCAATAATGTTTTAATTTGTTACTTTTTTATATGCTTAAAAAGTTAAAATGAATATTTTGGTTTGGTTCACTTATAGAGTAGATATAACTAATATCCATTGAGGATAAGAGAAAAAACAAGAGATTGTATATTCATATGTTAATCTTTTGGTATCCAATGTATTTAAATTTCTTATATGCCAAATTTATATTGAATTTATACCTAACATTTGAATTGCATCAAGAAAAAAGTGATATTATTGTTGTTGGTGAGATAGGGTATATTAACTGAAGGTGACGTTGTAGCGGTCAAAAGGCTTGCAAGAATTTTCGATAAAGGGATTGAGGAACTTCAAAAGGAGGTTCAATTAATCGCGAAACTCCAACATCGAAATCTTGTTCGGGTATTGGGTTGTTGCATTGAGGTGGAAGAGAAGTTGCTGATTTATGAGTTTATGGAAAACAAAAGTCTTGATCTGTATCTTTTTTTTGCTAAAAAATTATTTGCATTGTTTTTCTTCTTTTGATACATGAGTATTTTTCCACCAAAATCTGACTATGTTTTCTTAAAACCATTATAGGAAAAGAGGAAAGCATGAAACTTAATTGGAAGACCGACTCGAGATTATACGTGGGATTACACGAGGGCTTCATTATCTTCATCACGATTCAATACCTACAATTGTCCATCGAGATATGAAAGCAAGTAATATTTTTCTTGATAAGGAAATGAACCCGAAGATATCAGACTTTGGTATCGCAAGGATTTTTGGAAGGGATAAAAAAGAAGCACAAACAAAAATAGTGATTGGAACATAGTAAGTACCTTTGTATTTTATGCATATATATATATATATATATATATATATATATATATATATATGCGCACATAAGAGGTATAGCTTTACTCTTTCTTATTATTTTTCTCAAATTCCATATAGTGGTTATATGTCACCTGAATACATGATGAACGGGAATTTCTCAAGAAAATCAGATGTTTTTAATTTTGGGGTTTTGATTCTCGAGATAGGAAGCGGTAAAAGGAACAGAGGATCATCCAACACAGATAGCCAACTTAACCTTCTTGCACAAGTAAGTAATATCAGTGATATATTGAGAACTTCTAAACTGATCTTTAATATTATACTTTATATTTCTAAAACCATACCCCCATAAACTTAGACTTTATTCCAATAGGGTCCTTGTCTCTTTAAGTTATTGTATTTGAAATGAAACCAATATCTTTTAGGCATGGAAGTTATGGAACGAGGAGAGAGCTTTAGAACTACTAGACGAATCTATTGGAACCAAATTTTCAGAAAATGAAGTGTTGAGGTGCATACAAATTGGACTCTTATGTGTTCAAGAACTACCGAAAGATCGACCTAAGATGTCAGAAGTAATGTTGCTATTGAGCAGTGAAACAATGGGAATGTCACCACTGAAACATCCTGGATTCTTCTTTAGGAATGAAAATCTTGAACCAGAAATTTCAAGCAAAAAAGATGATTCCGTGACAGTAAATCAAATAACACTAACGGTAATAGAACCTAGATAGCAAAACTAGGTTAGTCACCATCTAGCATCAATTGTACATCGTATAATTTTAAATTATTTTTTGTTTATTTTTTTTCTTAACGGAAGGGGAGATTATTATTAGCGTAGCATTATTTCTACATTATTGGTATTTTTTATTAACCATATTATAGGGTACCTACATGTAAATACGTAGACTATATATACATATTTGTATTATTCTTGACGATAATGAAAACAGAGAAAACCTTTTATGGTATCAGAGCGATATGTGATTACGATCACATCCAAACCCTAAAATCATCGATCTGGCCTCCTCCATCACCGCCTCTTCCTCTGCTTCTCTGATCACGATCAACAACAGCTGAAAATCAAGATCCCTTGCAGTATCCATCTCACAACATTGAGACTGCACCATCATCACCCCTCTTCTCCGGTACTCCCGCCGAAAAACCAAAAAAAAAAAAAACAGAATGACAGGAGAAGCTAACGATCCTCTTTCTACCAAAAACTCTACTCTCCATCCCATTTATACAGTCACAAATATTCAGAATAAGGTATGCATTCTTGATGGCGTTAAAGTCACGTACTCATCTTGGGTTAAATTATTTAAACTTCATGCAAAGGGCTATAAAGTTTTACAGCACATTGATGGCACCGACCCTCCTCCTGCTGCTAACTGCACATACTCTTCTTGGGTCGAGATTGATTCCATTGTCTTACAATGGATCTATGGCACACTATCTGATGATCTATTGGTAAGAATTCCAGAGAATGACACTACCGCCAAAGATGCATGGCTTAAAATATAGGTAATTTTTTTTAATACAAAAGCTCCCATGCAGATGCCCTTGAGCACGAATTTACCAACCTGTCACTCATTGTGTGTTCATCTATGGATGAATACTGTCAAAAACTAAAGGAGTTAGCAGGTCAACTTGAAGATGTTGGGTACCCAATTTCAAAAGCACGATTGGTCTTATAGTTAGTTCACAGTCTACCTCCCGAGTATGACACCACAGCCTCCCTAATCAACCGTGGCTCCTACTCATGGGATGTTGTCAGGGGCATGCTCTATCTTGAAAAACAGCACCAAGATGTCCGGAAACAACCAAACCAATCCGCCCTTGTTACCCCACAAAACATCACAGTTCCTACATAAAACTCATCTCCACCAACCCCTCAACCCACACCACAAAACCGTCCCTATGATCCAAACTTCCAACAATACCGTGGTCGTGGCTGTGGACGAGGCTGCAGAGGAAATCAAGGTGGGAGGTTCAACAACCGGGGGCGGAGGCCGGTCTCAGTTTCATTACCCTCCACCGTGGGCTTGGTGGCAGACTCCACCGTGTCCTTACCCAACGCAACCTATTCCCTGGAGCACTTCTCAACCATTCTCCAACTGAACACAAGCCCTACACTACTCACCTAGTTAACCTGCCGCCAACATTATACAGCCGGGAACTCATGCTTTGCTAGTTAGCAATCAATATGATGCACTCAATTTTACTGATATTGGTGCTGCTTTGCAAAATACACAACTCACGCCCCCGGATCCAAACTGGTACATGGATACAGGTGCTTCCAATCATGTGACTTCAAACCCAGGTACATTCTCTACCCCTCTGTCAATATCTCAAAATGGTCATATATTCGTTGGTAATGGCAACACGTTGCCCACCCATGGATCCGGTACAATTTTATATAAACTACCCAACCAAATATACCAACTCAAAAATACCCTCCTAGCCCCCGACATCATCAAAAATCTTATTTCTGTTCATAAGTTATCTCGTGATAATAGTGTTTCTATTGAATTTGACCCTCATGCTTTTTCTTTGAAGGATTACCCGACTGGAAAATACCGTTCCCGCCACAACACTGAAGGCGATCTCTATCCATTCACCGCACCTGCAGCAAACCCATCAGCTCTCATCACTACGTCTCACATATGGCATAATCGTCTTGGTCATCCCGGCCGCCAAGTCTTATATTTACTTACCACTCACAAATTCATTTCATGTACTAAAGAACATAACTCTACTATTTACCATTCTTGTTAGCTTTCAAATAGCAAACGTTTACCGTTTTTCGAATCTTTATCTTGCACTTTTTCTTCATTTGATATTTTTCATTGTGATTTATGGACTTCACCTGTTCCAAGCAAAACTGGTTACAAATATTATATGGTTCTTATTGACAACTTCACAAAATTATATATGGGTGTATCCTTTAAAATTCAAATCTGAAACTTTTCCTACTTTCGTTAAATTTCACACATTGATTAAAACTTAATTCAATAAACCTATCAAAAGTTTTCAGTGTGATTTGGGGTTGAATTCGACAATATCGAGTTCAAAACTTTTGCGAATAACCATGGTCTTATATTTCGATTTGCTTGCCCTCAAACCTCGCCCCAAAATGGCAAAGTCGAGCGTATGATTCGGCGCCTTAATGATATTATCCGGGCTTTTTTAATGCAAGCTTCCTTACCCATGACCTTCTGGGTTGAAACATTACACACTGCAGCCTATCTTCACAACATACTTCCCACCAAACGATTAAATTTCCTTACTCGCACCTTTGCTCTATATCTTCGCCACCCCACCTACGACCACCTTCGAGTCTTTGGGTGTGCTTGCTATCCAAATCTATCAGCTACATCCCCACATCTTCACACTAGGTCCACTCAATGCATTTTTCTTGGTTACCCTAATAATTTTCGCGGGTATCGATGCTACAACCTGATCTCTGGAAGAATTTATCTCTTACGTCATTTTATCTTTAATGAATCCCTTTTTCCATCAAGTCATATCTCTTCCACACCTACTCACATTCCCACTTCAGTGAACTCTGATCCATCCCCAATCATTCTTAAACCCCTTCCACCTAACCATAACCTACCGCCTCATTTCATCCCACAACCACCATCACCAACCGTACCCACCAACTCACCTCTCTCCAACCATGAACCATCACCTAACGGTCCCCCCTCCACCAACACTCAAAACAGAAAACCAAACACCCACACCCACCCCATTCAACATTCACTCCATGACAACCCGATCTAAAGTTGGTATAAACAAGCTAATCACTAGAATCAACCTAAATGTCACCCACACTCCCCATATCTCCCCTGTTCCCACATCCTACCTTTAAAGCCTTGCTTAACCCAAATTGGCAACACGGCATGACCAATGAATATAAAGCATTAAAGGATAATGACACGTGGGAACTAGTACCACAACCCACTAACCACCCGGTTATTCATTGCATGTGGTTAATTCGGAATAAATTTAAAGTTGACGGGTCTCTAGAGCGCTACAAAGCGCGGCTGGTGGTTAACGGTAAATCTCAAAGTGTTGGTGTTGACTATTTTGAAACATTTAGCCTAGTGGTTAAACCTGCTACAGTTCGCACAATATTAACTCTTGTTGTGTCCCGCTCATGGCCCATTAAACAACTAGACGTAAAAAAATGCATTTTTGCACAGGGATCTCAATGAAACGGTCTTTATGCATCAGCCACCAGGATTCACTGACTCGGTTGATCTAGATCATGTGTGTCATTTGAAAAGGTCACTATACGGGCTCAAGCAGGCTCCACGAGCTTGGTACACTCGGTTCTCCAACTTTCTTTTAACTCACGGTTTCACAAGCAGCCGATGCAACAACTCCTTGTTTGTGTATCGCCATGGGGAACACACTGCCTATTTGCTTCTTTATGTTGATGACATTATTTTGACCGCTTCAGATTCTTCGGTCTTACGTTCTATTACAACCAAGCTCTCCATGGAGTTTTCCATGACCAACTTAGGCGATTTACACCATTTCTTAGGGATTTCACTAACCCACAGCAGATCAGGATTATTCTTGCAACAATCTCAATTTGCAAAGGACATTATACAACGTGCCTCCATGTCTACGTGCAAGCCAGTATCAGCACCGGTTGACACCTCTGCCAAACTTAGCGCCATTAACGGTCCCCTCTTACCGGATGGATCTCTCTACCGGAGCCTTGCAAGTGCTCTTTAATATTTGATGTTTACCCGCCCTGACATTTCCTATGCAGTTCAACAGGTGTGCTTGTTCATGCATGCCCCTCGCGAGCCTCACTATAATTTTCTCAAACGTATTCTTCGTTATCTTCAAGGTACCCTGGACTATGGCATAAAAATCACTCCTACACGGTTGGATTCACTCACGACTTATTCCGACACCGACTGGGCAGGCAACCCAGACTCTCGCCGATCCACGTGCGGCTACTGTGTCTACTTAGGTGATAACATACTCTCCTGGTCCTCCAAAAGACAACACACAGTCTCTTGTTCGAGTGCTGAGGCCGAGTATCGTGTCGTCGCAAACATGGCTGCTGAAGTGAACTGGTTACGCAACTTGCTTCTTGAACTACACGTTCCCCTTCGTCACGCTACCGTTGTCTTCTGTGATAATGTTTCTGCGGTTTATTTGTCGGATAACCCGGTTCAATATCAATGGACCAAACATGTCGAGATCGATATACACTTTGTTCGTGAAAAGGTTCGCCTCGGACACATTCGGGTTCTTCATGTCCCCAAGGAATTTCAATATGCCGACATTTTTACAAAGGGTCTTCCTCAACATTTGTTCACCAACTTCAGGTCCAGTTTGAGCGTTCATCCTCCTCCCACTCGAACTGCGGGGGACTATTAGCATAGCATTATTTCTACATTATTGGTATTTTGTATTAACCATATAATAGGGTACCTACGTGTAAATACATAGACTAAATATACATATTTGTATTATTCTGGACGATAATGAAAAAACAGAGAAAACCTTTTAATTATGTCATACTTTACACATTACAATACATCAAGTGTAATTTGTTGGATTGGATTTTGTATATTATTATAAGAAGGTTTGTTAGTGTAAGACGATGTTTTGCAGTTTAGTTGTTGTAAAATCTGAATTTTAATATAAATTAAAATTCATTTCGTAAAATATATTTCTAAATGAATATATTGACAAGTAGTTTACATCATGATCATTTGAACTTAATAACATCCACAATGCAT